AACAGATGCACTCGTATATTACGATAGCGCCGAAAAATGTGCTAACAGTTGATCAGTCCTGAGATAAGCCATGCATTTGGCATTTACTCTGAATCGCTGTACATACGTGTGTACGATGATACTGTACGATGCCGAACTTAGTGATTTTTGAAAGCAACCGATGTTCAGTCAGTGTTTTCCCTTATCTGGGAAAGTTCGGTTCACCTCGCCCGGACTGGCCTTGGAGGGATAGTTGGCCTGGGCGCTTCATATTTCTTAACACACTACATAGTTTCTTAGGCACCTTTTTACCAGCGCTCAGTCAGAAAAGTTTTAAGCGGGTTTTTCATTCTTTCCAGGAGTTATTGTGTGAAAGGTGGAAGGCGGAGCGGTTCTGATGACGTCGCTGGCCGCCATTGGTGAAGGATCGCCGAGGGGTGTGGTCGTGAGCACCTTCCGCTCTTTCACTAATGAGCCGAATGACGTCATCAAGCTGGTCCACCTTTCAGTTAGGGTGTTCGCTGGTCTTGCTTGATGAACCTTTCCTTTGAACAATTCAAATTCAGACGTGATTTTTTGATACAGTCATGAACTTTTGTTGAAGGCTTCGTTTGGTGCCGGACTTTTGGGACAACTCGTGTTTTTGTGTAGATTTTATTAACCTTTGTTAGCTTTTCTCAAATGTCGGTGTGGAGTGTTGTGGAGTGTTGTCTGTCCTTCTGCAGATGTGCGGCAGTTCGTTCGGTGGCGGCACGTTCTTCGACGATGGCGGTCAGCCGTTATGCGAGACACACTATCACGAGCGTCGCGGCTCGTTGTGTCACGAATGTCGCGCACCGATCTCAGGCCGTTGTGTGACGGCAATCGGCAGGAAATTCCATCCAGAGCATTTCCGATGCTCTTACTGTAATCGACAGCTCACCAAAGGCACCTTCAAGGAGGTTGATCGTCGTCCATTCTGTCATAAATGCTACAATAACACTTATGCCCTCACGTAAGGCAGAGAGGCGACTTGTTTATGACTGTACCGATGTTTTTCTTGTTTACTCAATGAAGTTAAATTACATCTCGGCTATACCCAACCTAAGCGGCAAACTACAAGCGCTTCTGCGATTGGTTAGATGTGGGTCATTTCTCCCGAAAATCAGAGTAAATGCGACTTAGTCGGTCAGTAATGAAAAGAGCGAACGAAATGTAAAAGTATCCCCAAAAACAAATTGCACGCTGTTTGCATGGGCGGGGATTGCAGCCTCATCATTGGTCGGCACCTCCTCTTCACTGTATCTGAGGAGGAGCCGACCAATGAAAAAGCCGCAGTCCCTGCCTTTAAGTTCGCTAATGCAGCGCGCCTTTGCACTCGACAGTCCCATTTGCTCTCTTGATTACTGGTTAGCCTACTACCACATCTACTTTCCTTTTCGGGCTCAATAACCCCCTCCTAGGTAATCGCATGATGTGCCTTTAAGTCACAGGGGTTTAGGGATCTACCTACTGGGACGTCGTTGTCATTCAGTTTTTCCACTTGAAATGTTTTACGTGACCTACTTCCTTTTTGCTCCCGTTTCATTGCTCTCTACCCGTGGTACCCGAGGAGCGCTAAAATGCTCTCTGACAAAAAAGTACCCTAAAATATCCGATTGTTCCAATTTGACCGTGGTTTGACCTCCGTTACCCTATCGTTTCCAATAAATCAGTCATTGGGGAATGGTTAGTTTCCCTTGTAAGGACCCATAGTCCATCGCCCTCCTCCCACCTGTCGTATTCCGATGTGGGATCTTAGTCGTTATCATTGGCGCAGGCTTTGGCGTTGGGGCGCATTTCGAGATTGATACAGTAACCGACAGAATTAGCGAATGA